TTTATTAATTTGCATGTATGCTGTAGATGCTTTTATCCAAACCAAATTATGGTCAAAACTCGCTGACTTAAGTGGGTTCTGTCAGCTGATCTCTCTTGGTGAGGTTATAACAGATAGGGCTATAGTTGTGGGATCACTTTTTTTAATATAGGGATTTGTAGTGTGGTTTTATTTGTATGTACTTGAGTTTGGATGTACCCTTCTGTTCAAAACTTCCCTTTTCACAGGTCAGAGAGCAACCGAACAACCGAAAAACGGAGCCAGGTGGAGTTCTAGAAACTTCTTCTTCACAGCTGGGCAGATCCTTGTGCTTCCATATCTCTTGAGACCTGGACAGGCCTTTGACAGAAGGAATCTTATGTTTGATGTTAGGAACTGCAAGCACAGATTGATCTAGTGCACAACTGCTGAGAAGCGGAGTCTTTGCCACCAGGAAGCATCTTGAGGACTTCTGGGAAACTGACGAACTGGACGTGAACTGCTGAGGAAGACAGGTGCACGTGACAAAAAGAAGGGAGAAGAAAGTGAAGTGGAGGATGGAGACAGAGCAGAGGACGTCTGAGAGGAGGAGGAAGAGGAGGAGGAGGCGGTGGCGTGCCTTCAGAAAGAACTGCGTCCTGTCTTCTGCTCACACTCATCATTGGTAAGACTCCTCTACCTTCTTCTACTGAAAACATGCTGTTGTTATCTGTAATGTTCAGTTATGATTTTGATTTACAAAAATAAGCTCGAAAAACTGAATCCCTGTTCTTGTAGAAAGTATGTACTAGTACCAAGTCCTGTACTAACTGTACTAATAATTCATATTAAAAATTCATATTAAAAGCTGTGAGCTTGCAAAGTCTGTGCAGTTCTCTGATGTCCTAAACACAGACACGCACAAATCCAGCTCCTAATGTTGCATTGCAGAGAAGCAGTAGAGTAAAGTGTTAAAGTCGGCATTAGTTTAGTGGCTCAAATTTCTGGGACATTTTTGCCTCTGAAAATTGAACTACTCACAGGAAACTGTGGTCAGAGTTATAATTTGCTCACCGTCATGTCATTTCAAATCTGACTCGATACTCTCTGTCTGATCATGTTAAAATGTTTACACTGCTTTATTTCATTAAGCTAAGTGTTTTATCATTTAGGTTTGGCCTTGCATATCACAAATCAAGATGTATTTGAATATGGCATGACATGGCTCTGATGAATATTTATTGCTTGCTTATTTTAAAGATCTTTTTTTATGATTTATACTTTTTATTTTCTTCAATGAGCAAACGATACATTCAGTTTACAGATAATTAAATGGCAAGTTCAAATTTTGTTTGTCAGTTATGATGGCATATTATGAATGATTGACAGACAATTATGTGTGTGAGAGTTGTGTACGGGGCGTCCCGTGCTGCTCTAGAGAACATACTTTGGACCACCACCACGGACTAATGCAAGATGAGACTTACAGTAAGGAATTTTATTTCATGGCTGGTAAAGGGGAGTATCATAGATCTTTATTCATGCTAAGTTAATCACCGATTTTGAAGAGAGCTGAGATGAAAGACAAGAGGCGGAAGTTACCATTAAATAGGCTCTAGAATCAAGTTGTCTGAAAATCATGACTGTTTGAGGCAAACTGCTTAAGACACTTTGAAATATTTTTTTTATCATATAGTTTCATAGTATATGGGGTTTGCTATCTACATTTATTTTACACTGTAACTCTGTATTTTATAGTAAAATAAAAAAAATGAAATGTATGCCTATTTTTATTTATTAAATTTTTTAATTGCCTATCTCCTAAGGTAATTTGGAAGATACATACTGAGAATCATTAGGTCTCATAAGACTTTTTCCTCATCAATTTATATGCAATTAAATGTTTCTCTGGGGTAAAACAGCAGGCTACATTTCTGTAACGGAAGCACAATGTCTCTTTAGAATACATGATGACAAGCATGTTGATTGAGTACACAGTGTTTCCACAATCACTCATGTCCTGGTTTAAAATATCTCTCATGAAAGGGTACAGTTGATTGGTAGGACCTCTTCACTGCTCATGTAACCTTTCCTGATGAGTTACACAGCTGTGTAAACTCAGCACTCTCATGCCGGCACATGTTAATTCTGTCACATTGTGTGCCAAGCAAACTTCTGGACACCTGACGTCAGAGAGCCCAGGTGTGTATGTAAGGTCACCGCAGCCTGCTTGTTTCTCATCTACAATAATACATTTATAGTTACAGTTATAGATGTTATATATTCTATAGGCCTATATATATTATGTATATGTACTTTTTTAATATCCAGTCATGCAGTTTCACTGTCAGCTTGCAAAACTGCATTCAAACTTATACAATATACCATGAATATCAATAAATTGATTCTCACAACGAAGCAAGAGAACATGCACATAATTAAATCACTCATTAAATTATACCTCTTACGTATTTCACAGTAATAGAAGACCATAAAAGTAATCGTAAACGCCAAGAACAGAACAGGTTAAATATAGATGACTAAAAAATGCTATGCACATGTAACAGTATCTCTGTAGAACCACATCTGAAATGTGAAAGCTGTTATATGAACCTACATGCTGACATATTCAAACTCCTTAATCAGCTGTGTTCTGCATGGTAGAAAACACCATAGACTGTTTTTATTATTATTATTAATTTAGTTTTGTTTTTTCACTATTATTGGTATTACTATTTTTGTTTTACTATTACACTTTCTAAACCATGACTGAAAAAGAGTGAGTTGTTTGGGGGTTGTTGAGAGGTTTCTTACTTGACTAATTATATTTATTGACGCTATAAATTCTCACAAAGATTTATTCATGATTTATTTATTTTAACATGTCTGGGTGCTGAAATGATCACCGAGCAAACCACTAAAATTTAACATAGGTTCTCCAAAGGTTGGCAGCACACCATACACTCTAAAAAATGCTGGGTTAAATACAACACAGTGCTGGGTAAAATAGGGACAAACCCAGCAATTGGGCTGTTTTGACCCAGCGGTTGGGTTAAATGTTTAACCCAACCTTCTGGGTAGTAACCCAACCGCTGGGTCAAAACAACCCAATTGCTGGGTTTGTCCCTATTTTACCCAGCACTGGGTTGTATTTAACCCAGCATTTTTTAGAGTGTACAGTATACAGCAGATAGCCTATAAAAATGCTATGTTGCATAGTAGATATCACTCTGGGCTAGTAACTAGAAGGTTGTGGGGTAAATGGAGCTTCAACATAACCTTTATGAGTGAAAGCAAGAGAGAATAAATGGGTGCATTGTATATATGTTTTTGTGCATATGTCAGTTATGTATGTCAATAATAGGTCTTAATGACCTTTGATATATTTTCTTCTTTCTCTTCAGGTTTTGATAATGACACTGCATGTCTAGGAATGTTTTCCGTCTTCATCTGCTTTCTCTTCCTGTTTCAGGTGTGTGTTGCGTTCATGCTCTGGAGATGTCTACTGGTAAGGTTCCATTTCTAGAAGCAGTGAACGGCAGCACAGTGCTTCTGCCTTGCACCTATGCCAGCTGTATTGGGATCACTAACCTCTACTTCAAATGGGAGTTCAATGATAATGGCACCATGCAGAAGGTAACCCCTATTCAGTTTAATAATCATGGGATTGCCTACTTATTCCACTAATGTACATTAAAAATAAGCAGAATAATCAAATAGGCCTATTGCATGTCATTTGCTTAGAATAGAATAGAATAGAATAGATATTACCACACAGACACAGCCCATATTTAATAGGCCTATTACGCCTACTAATCAACAAACTGTATTGAGGGATCAATGGTTTGAGACCACATTGAAAATTTGCCATTTAAAATCTAATTTAAACCTGAAAATAAAATTTTTGGATTTTTGGATTTTTCTGTTTAAAAAAAGTATTTGTGCTGTTTTTGGTTACTAATCAAATAAGTACATTTGTGGTATTGATCTCGTGAGCTCCTTTGCACGTTCTTATGTTGAGTCATCCAGTGGTCAGACATTCCTTAATTTGACCGCAGACTCTATGGAAGCAGATTAGACTCAATAATAATTTACACAAAGGACACGATGCACACATGCGTATCCCAATTCACATGCATGAAACCCAATTCACGTGCACGAAAAAAATATATTCACAAAAACCAATTCACGTGCACAAAATAAGAATATAAATTCATAAAATACATTTCACAAATGCAAAACACAATTCACAGATGTGCAACTGTGTACAAAAATTTTGAATATTTTGAAAAAAAAAAGAGGAAAATTTTGAATTCATGTGTTCATCATGGACTGTGAATGTGTGAATCACCTTGGATTTGTGTGTGTATTTTTGAGACTTTCCTGGCAGCGAACTCCTCCCACGCGGGACACTCGTACTCTTTAGCCAATCAGATTTGAGCCTGTCGATCGACCAATCATAACCCGCTGTGGGTGTGCCTACCTGGATGTTACGTCATCAGCACGAGACCACGGTTCAAGTCATGGCAGAGGTTTGTGCAGTTGACCGTTTCATTTCAGTTAAAGGGATAGTTCACCCAAAAATGAAAATTTGATGTTTATCTGCTTACCCCCAGGGCATCCAAGATGTAGGTGACTTTGTTTCTTCAGTAGAACACAAATGAAGATTTTTAACTCAAACCGTTGCAGTCTGTCAGTCTTATAATGGAAGTGAATGGGAATCACGGCTTTGAGAGTCAAAAAACATACACAAACAAAACCCAATTAAACCCTGTGGCTCGTGACGATACATTGATGTGTAAAGACACAAAACGATTGGTCTGTGCAAGAAACTGAACAGTATTTATATTTTTTACCTCTGATTCACCGCAATGTCTGAACTGTCCTGAGCACGTTCTCGACAGCCAGAGCGTGACGCGTCTTCTTCTTCTTGCTTTACGGCGGATCACAGACTTATAAGTGCATTACCGCTACCTATCTCTCAAATGGACTATTGACACTCCTAATTGAAATTGTAGATAGAGTGTCAATGGTCCATTTTGAGCGCTCAGGACAGTTTCGGACATTGTGGTGAATCAGAGGTAAAAAATTATATAAATACTGTTCAGTTTCTTGCACAGACCGATCGTTTCGTGTCTTTAGACATCAATGTATCGTCACGAGCCGCAGGGTTTAATTTGGTTTTGTTTGTGTATGTTTTTTTTGTCTCAAAGCCGTGTTTCCCATCCACTTGCATTATAAGACTGGCAGACTGCAACGGTTTGACTTAAAAATCTTCGTTTGTGTTCTACTGAAGAAACAAAGTCACCTACATCTTGGATGCCCTGGGGGTAAGCAGATAAACCTCAAATTTTCATTTTTGGGTGAACTATCCCTTTAACTACTAGCCTTGTAAAGGTGTATTGTTTTATCTTTGCATGATTAAAACTTGGAAGTAGTGATGCAAAGTCCGATACTTTTCGGTTCTTTTCGGACAGTTCGGCTCATTGAACCGGTTCAAAAAGCAGATTCATCGGTTCCTGGCGTCATCAAGCAATGATATCACTATGCATTTCTTTTCTAACAACTCAGTGCCATGTCGTATCAATGAAACATTCAAATAAAGTCATTTGTGTCAACACATACTGAAACATTCAAATAAAACGTTATTTGTGTGACTGCGCATAGCTGATAATTTCCTTTCATTCACTTAAGTTAATGGTATCAGTGGTCAGTTTCATTCGCGGATCCTTTATGTCAGATACGACTGACCAGTATTGATTAACCTACAACTTAGATAAGATTCCTAAAAGTTTTGCACCTACAGCACACACACAACAGCACAAACGTGGATATGTTCTACATGTCTAAAGTATAAAGAAAGAATAAACCTGTCTTATAAACTCCTTGATTTCGCTTAAACAACTTAAAATAAGATTTGCATGCAGAATAAACCATGCTAAAATTCAGGTTTTCCCATGTTTTAATAAAACTCCAGGGCTTTTTAATAAAACGATTCATAAGCATATCTCCAGTAGCCTATGTTTTGGGTGTTATAAAGAAACTTTACGTATCAGGCTCGTTCAAATCCTCGGTGATATACACACGCAGTGCAACTCACTCATCAGAATCCTCGGCAAACTTCGACAGTTGGTTAAACCGGCTCATTCGGTTAATTTTGAGTCCTCGGTTATCTTCGGCAAACTTCGACAGTTGGTTAAACCGGCTCATTCGGTTCATTTTGAGTCCTCAGTTATCTTCGGCAAACTTCGACAGTTGGTTAAACCGGCTCATTTGGTTATTTTTGAGTCCTCAGTTATCTTCGGCAAACTTCGACAGTTGGTTAAACCGGCTCATTTGGTTCTTTTTGAGTCCTCAGTTATCTTCGGCAAACTTCGACAGTTGGTTGAACCGGCTCATTCGGTTCTTTTTGAGTCGGACGTGCTTCGGCTGTGCGTCCTGCGTCATCACCCCGGAACTAAAGTTCGATTCAGTTCGATTTTGTGAACCAGCTCAACCGGTTACTTCCTGAGAACCGGCTCAAAAGAATGATTCGTTCAAGAATTGAACATCACTACTTGGATGTAATGTCGGTCGTTTAGACACACTTGTTAACATGACCAGTGTAAGCCAGCAGCTGCTATGAATACAGATGGTGTTGCCAAAAATGCAGCTGTCTTGTGTTAGCCACAGTGTCCCGTATATTGGCTAAAATGAAAAAAAGAATTCTGCTCATTGCCCTGTTTTTGTTCAGCAACGCTGGGTGGCCAGTGTTTAGCTTCCGCTTATTGCTGACCCTGCCCTTATCATCATAGCTTATATAGATGAACAGACCTCACGAGAACTCAGTGTATGAAAAACGGTGTGTTTGTACTTACCATTTGTGCAACATGATGCAGTGTTTAATTAATACACACTAATTGTTTTCCTTGCATTTTTCAGGATTTAAACACTTTGGCACAACATCTGGATGAGTTACAGACCCCTTCCTTCACATGAATCTTTATCTCTTTTATGTCCTTTACCTTTATGTATTAATTTCTTAATGTAATCAACATTCATTTTCTTAATTTTTCATATTATATTACTGTGATTAACCATTGTTAATGTTTAATCTTGTGTTGAGTTTTGATGTAAAAAATCCTTGAGATTACAATACACAAGTTGATGTTGGGAAGCAGCAATTGTATTTGCTTGCACAGTTGTGGAATTTATTCTGGTCAGACAAAGACAGACTGATCATAAAAAGCAATGCAGCAAAGATTCTTCAGTAAACTTTATTCAGTTATTTTTATCAATTTATCTTATGCTTCCTGCTCTTTCTGTGTCTGTATCTCTTGTAAAAGTATAAGAGTTAACAAGCCAAGGTGTTAACTGCTTTGAATATCACACCAAAATCTGGCACGTCCTGACAGAGAGAGAGATAGTGAAGACTGGATCTAAAACATTTGATTAATTAACTTTTCACATAATGTATTACATGTATTTATCATTCGGCCATGAAATTTACTTTAAAAGAATGCTAAAGAATCTAAATGGGACACTATACCAGCCATTCAGTGTAAATGAGATTTGAATACCCTTTGACTGAAGAACTTCTAGCACAGCGTCAAACTGGTATCGAGCCAATCTCAGCTGTAGTTGTATTACATTTGTACTCTCTCATAATTGTCAATTCATATTTCATGTTACAGGCACATTACAATTAATCATGGTCTAGTCATTTCATGGACATTTCATTCCCAAAATATTCAGAAAACCTTAATAAACTTTAATAAATTAATAAATCTTGTGCAGCAACTGTAACAACTGACTTGCTTTGAATGTTTTAATTCTGACATAAAACCAGAACAATAACAAGAACATTTAACAATGCTTAACAAAGCTTTACACCTTAACAAATTCAAAGTCATAGGGTACCATTCTAAAAGAAATGTAGTAATAATGCATGACTTAAAAAATCTGTTGAAACTGTCAAAATGGATGGGTTGCAACATGACTGTTTTGAAATGAAACTTCTAGATTCATATCACCTCATAACTTGTAAGGGGATGAATTAGGAACAGCAGGGTCACGGGTTGTCTCAGCAATTTGTAAATCATCAGCCTCACAATTCTGAAATAAATAGTATTTGCAGCATAAACAAACTAAAATTAAATGTACATGGTTTCCAATGTGTGCATGTTATTATATACATCATCATCGGCTGAATGCGTGTCATAGCAAGACTTGAGACACAAGACAAGCTCTGCTGTGTACAGCTCTTTCATGTCCTCAATAAGCAAAAACTCAAGAGACCGCTTGAAAAATATCCAAAAACTATATTTTCACAATCTTCTATTTATTTACGACATGTTCCATCAGTCAAAACCTTATTCTATTAATCTTAATGTGGTATGGCATCAACGTGAATAATGATTATTTATTAAATAAACATAAGAATCGATCGATATTAAATCAATACACTCTGGACTAAACAGCAGCTGCTGGCTTACACTGGTCACGTTAATGAGTGTGTCTAAACGAATGATTTTACTTCCAAGTTTTAAGCATGCAAAGATAAAACAATACACCTTTACAAGGCTAGTTAACTGAAATGAAACGATCAACTGCACAAACCACTGCCGTGACTTGAACACTGTTGCCAACTCTCGCGAGACAAATAAGCAACCGAAGCTTCAAAAACAAGCCCAATATTTTTTGATGATTTATTATCATCAATATTATTTATTATCAATTATATATTACCAATAAATGAGCCTGCAACATATTAAACTGAAACTACTCTTTTATCTAAAAAGTAAAAACAGAAGTTATTTTTACAAAAATCAAAGTGGGAACAATACTCATCTCCAATCACCTGTGAGCAGAATAGGATTAGAGAGATGGAAAAGGAGAAGAACACTAAGTCTACTATCATCGCTTGGATTACAGCGTCACGCTCCTTCTTTTTGAACATGATGGGCAGAATATTTGAGCAATTATGCTACAGCACTTATATTATTGCACTAATTGGCTGACTGGAGTGTCAATCAATGCATTGGAGAATATGGCGAACATAAGTGTAAAGAAACAAAGTTGCTTGTCAGATTTTCCAAACAAGCAACCGTATTTTTTTAAATAAGCCAAAAAAAAAAATGCAACCCGCTGCGGCCCTGGATTTTTTTCAGCAAAAGAAGCTCAAAGTCGTCTATAATAAGCAGACTTTTTTTATTATTTTATTTTTTTTTTTTATTGCAAACAATTCAGAGATGACATTAATGAATAACAACTTTGCATACATTACACATAATGTATTATAATAAGCGGACTTGGCAACTGTGGTCTCAAGCTGATGACGTAACATCCAGGTAGGCACGCCCACAGCGGGTTATGATTGGTTGATCGTCAGGCTCAAATCTGATTGGCTAAAGAGTACGAGTGTCCCGCGTGGGAGGAGTTCGCTGCCAGGAAAGTCTCAAAAATAGACACACAAATCCAAGAGGATTCACACATTCACAGTCCATGATGTATTGTGTGAATTGTGTTTTGCATTTGTGAAACGTATATATTTTATGAATGTGTATTCTTATTTTGTGCACGTGAATTGGTTTTTGTGAATTTTTTTTTTTTGTGCACGTGAATTGGGTTTCATGCATGTGAATTGGGATACGCATGTGTGCATTGCGTCTTTTCCGTGAATTATTATTGAGTCTAATCTGCTTCCATAGACTCGCTCGCTTTCATAAAAAACGCAACTGGCGCCATCTTGCGTCTCAGTTATCGGTTGTAGTTACAATAACTTCAGAGGACTTCAGTACTTAAAATTATAGTACTTGGGGGCAGTCGTGGCCTAATAGTTAGAGAGTTGGACTTGTAACCCGAAGGTTGCGGGTTTGAGTCTCAGGTCAGGCAGGAATTGTTGGTTGGGAGAGTAAATAACCAGCGCTCTCTTCCACCTTCAATACCATGACTGAGGTGAGACCCTTGAGCAAGGCACCGAACCCCCAAACTGCTCCCCGGGCGCCGCAGCAATATGGCTGCCCACTTCTCCGGGTGTTTGTGTGTGCACTTGGATGGGTTAAATGCAGAGCACAAATTCCAAGTATGGGTCACCATACTTGGCCACACGTCACTTCACTTTCACTTTACATTTACTGTTAATATTGCTGCAGTGTTCGTCTTGTCACTGCCGATTGTTTTATAATGTTGTAGTAGACTGTTTTCTTAGCGGAAGCTTTAGGATAATATACAGGTAAAAATTACTAAATATTTTCATTCAGTATTTCCTGTCAACATAGCCTATTTATTTAGGCTATTTGCTATTTATAATCATTCCATTTACCTGATATTGTTTCTCAGTGTCATGTTCTGTGCAGTAAATTGTAAGTTTCCTTTCAAGTATCAGTCTTCAAAGTCAAGGAGAGCAGTTGGAGTTATCAATATATTAAGATATAAATTTGCACTTCAGACAGTCTCAAAGACAAAAAACATCTTTACATATGCTCAGTTTAACATTAATAACTGACAGTTCTGTTTCCCAATTAGGTGGCTGATTCTGTAATTCCAACGGATCATGTGGAGCCAAATAAAGTGAACATTTACCGTGAGAGGGTGGAGTATGTCGGCTCCAGTAAAGAAAATAACATCTCCATCCTGCTTTGGAATGTAACATTTGAGGATGTAGGTGACTACGTCTGCTTTGGCAAAAACCCCAAAGAGAAGGGCAAGAATCACAGCGCCATTTTCACTCTATATGTAGTAGAGGAACGTAAGTGTTGCAGGGTGGGAAGAGAGGGAGTTACAGAGAGAGAATGATACATGAACATCACACTTCAAGGTCATTATTAAAATAACTCTGTTTGCCTTTTTCTCCTCTCTCATTCCCTTTTGTCATATTCTCTGGCTACCCTATTCTCAGTAAGGGAGGTTGATAACACACTCACCATCATGATTGCCTCCTGTGTTGGTGGATTCATCGCTTTTTTAATGGCCTTCATGCTGCTAAAAAACTTCACTCTGTTCGTTCTCGCAAAGATTGAGGAAAAAAAGTGAGTTCTTGGCAACCTTTAGGATTTACACATGTATAAATTCTCGTACCCTTTTCCAGATACAGACCATGTCATTGCTTGACAATAAAAATGAATTATAAAACAATTGATATAAAAATGTATATGTTAGTGTCACGTTGCACACACACGAGGGACGAGGAGACGCTGGAGAATGTTGACAGGACTTTATTTGCATAAACCACCAAGGAACCAAGGGAGACGAACACAGGAAGACGTTTACACGAAGACGTTCAACAGCGGACAGAGAACTTGGGACTGGGAACACATTTTATACACACACACAGGAGGAGGGGATGACGAGACACACCTGGGAGCAATAAAACCAAGGGAAACACCTGGGACAAATGAAATAAACTAATCAGGACAGGAACAGGAAACTAACCAAATAAGGGCATGGGAAGGCACATGGGGAGCACGACACACAACATGGAACAGAGTCTGACATATGGGGAGCAGGACACACACACAAAACATGGAACAGAGTCTGACAGTTAGTAATAGTAGTATGTATATTATCTATATATTATCTTCCTTATCATCTATACATCATCCTTCTTTATCATCTATATATTATCTTCCTCTCATTGTGCCTATTTCTTTCTATATTTTTCAGTAAGGAATGCCTTGTCACCTCCTCAGGGATTGAGAACACAGAGAACGGTCTGTCGGGCTCCAAATCTACACCAAAGAAAGCATGACAGCGTGCAACCAAACACAGTCCCACATGCACGTGAAAACATGGATCAGCCATCATGCTGTGCCCTCTCTTTTTATTTACATCCGTGTTTACAAATGCTATACTTATGTTTTTATGATGTAGAGCAATCATAGTATTAAACAAGATTTTCATTCATAACATTTCCATGGATGATAGTCACATGACTCATTTTAAACATTTAGTTGATGCATAAACACGGATATGAATAAAAAGAGGGGCATAATGTATTTCTGCATATATTTCAATTTATATATGCATTTAAATATGCACCACACATGCAGCCTCACGCACTTTAGTTTCTTGGCCCACACCGAATCTGTGGGCTGTATTTATTCTTATGATAGAAAAATTAAATATTTTCTTCAACAATGCTTGACACAGGGAAAAATTTAGCTATGCTATTCATTTAGTGCATTGAACTGCACTGTAAAACTGTGAAGGGCCCATGGCCTCATTTGTACTGTAGGTATGTAACTAAAATAGTTGTGAAAGGAGTACGTTTCTTGTGTTAAAAAGAACAAAACATGCAGTGCTGTTTGTCAAATGGCCATCGAATTTGAAAATATATCTGTTGTAGAAAGATCAGTTATGCAACAGTGATTTGCATTGTTTCACTGACAGACTGTCATAGCTGGTTAATGACACTGCATGTTTTAATGCAGTACCTCTAAATAGAGCAAAAAAATAAATAAAAATCAGCAGAACTCTGATTGTAATAAGCATGAAGGGAGAATTAGGCCTTATTTGAACAGTCTTGAGTCCAGTTCAAAATAAATCTCATTACCATTTTTGCTTGAAAATGAAACACAGGTGCCTGTTAACACTTCTGTCGTCACCTTTTGGCGAGGATGACTGAATCAATGCAGAACATTACAATGCAAAGAAGAAAAAAAAGAGAGAAAAGAAAAGAAAAAAGAAAGAAAAAAACGCTGCAAAACTGCAAAAGCCACCAAACAGTTAGTAAATACAAGCTAATGAATGATACTTGACAATCCGTAGAAATCAGTATCCTCTTAGAGAAATCCCTGAATGAAACACTGAAAATGCTGCTTCAAATCATTTCCAGTGCATTATAGCATGTTAAATGGCCAGAAGTTTTAGGAGTACATGGCTGACTATAACAGTAGAAACATTATATGTAATGCTTTTTTATTGAAATATTGAAACACAATTGTCACATACTGAACATAATTATCATCAGCTTTGAAACTAAAAAATAGCTTGGTGAATTTCCATGCTAAACAAAATATGAATACCAAAAAGGAAAAATATATATATAACCTTTCAATGCAAACAGACATACTGTGACCTGAAAACCATGCAGCTCACCCTATGACATAATGAAAATGCAATATTTAAAGGCAATAAACTCATCATCATACAGTCATGCAAAGCAACTAACTAAATGAACGTGTATATATGATGTAAATATAGATTTAATAATCGAGACATGACTGAATGTAATCTCACAGATTTTCAGAAGTTTAGCTAATAAGCATAAAGCATCAAACTTTCACTTGAAGGATTCAGGGAATTCAGTGGAGACAAGAGAAGGGACTGACGTCAAGCAAGTCTGATGAGGTCTGTTCATTCAATTAGAAATGAAATAAGATTAATCAATAGATAAAATGTACCAATAATCTTATTAAAATACAGAAGTGATGTACAAAACTCTAAATGACTGACAACAGATTATCCCGTCATTTAAAAAGATATGTTATCGCTTTTAGTTAAATATTATTTAGGGAGATATATTTTAACAGAGTTGTTAAAGGCACAGTATGTAAGATTTTATTATTAAAATATCCAAAAACCCCTAGAACAGTTTTATATATTTTGCTGACTTGTGTACTTACATTATCCCAGATGTTTCACTGCTTACTTCCGCTGCTTTCCGGATGAGCGGAAGTGGTCGACTGTGGCATAATAAAAGCTCCGCTGCTTTCGAGCTGTGTGTCACGCTCATTCAGGCCTCGTTTCGCTTCGACGGCTTTCAGCCTCACCCTGCTTCATACTAAGACGTTAATAAATCTTTAATACATTAGCTCATACATGAACATGATTTCTGCCCAAGTCCCATCGGATTGCTTCGGCTGTGGGGATGAAGACGACAACTCCCATGATTCCACACTCAGTCACGGCGTCATCTAATCAAAGGTGACTGTGATTTCACCAAGTACAACATGTTCCTGGATCAACATCCTTGTTGATCCTGGAACAACATTCCTATCAACCAATCAGAATTGAGCGACAACTTTTCAGGAAATATCTGTTTTAGGCTTACAATCAGGGTTAGGTGCTTCTACACCCTTGTTAATCAGCTATCATTTCCCTCTGATTTTAGGAATAAATTATGGGTAAGGTTAGGTTTAGGGGTAGGGATTGGGTTAAGTCTGTATTTTTGGACAGTTATGTTGATCCAGGATCAACAAAAGATGTTGATCCAGGAACATGTCTTACTTGGCAAAATCACAGCGACCTAGTTTTACGCCTTTGTTTCGTTTGTTTTGAATACGTGCCCTCTAGTGGCAAAAAATTACATATTGTGCCTTTAATATAAAGAAAATATTGAAACTAATCTATTGATCTGCTTTAGAGAGCTCACCAATTATTACTGAATGCTTGAAGAATTTTACAGGTCTTTGGATTTTGCAGTTGTTAATGAATTTTACTGTGAATCTTGGGTGATGTTGGTCATGAAAGTCTTCCTTGAAAAAGCAGCTTGTTTTCAGTGCCAAATTAGTTAACTCCAAATTAATAATCTAATCAGAGGTTGTAACTATAGAGCACAAAAAAACAGTAGGAGAAATCTGGTAAATTTATACCATATTTGGACCTGAAAAAAATCTATAAGCAATGTGTACTGTAGGCTATATCTAGTAGCTGTCCTCTCATACCCCAATGTAACATCACTAAATGTCTATTGAAACAGCAATTTCATTTGGAAACAGTATCTTATATTTAACATTGTAAAAAGGGGAGTAGCTGAAATGATTGTTATTCTGTTTGTTAAAGGGTCACTTTAACAAACAGTTGTGATAATGTTATTGATCCTCAGATTTTATTTTTTAATATGATCTTATGGCACACAGGTCAGTAAAGCAATACACATTTAGAGGGCTCTTTAGCTTCTTTTAATAGGAGAAATATTGGAAAGGTACATTCATACATATTCAAAGCACTTGTACTACCTCTTATTCAAACATTTTCATCATATCATTGTGCTGAACTTGTATTTAATATCTCTGCATTTAATGTTTTAGAAATTTTGGAACAGTTGAGGTTTTCTCAGGTCGCTCAGTGAAAGAGTTTGATATTCTGCTTGATATTGGGCTTTTAATTAATGTTGTCCTTACAGTCGTCCCTCTATTAATGCACTATTTAATTAACAACATATCAGTTTTGGTTGCATTAGTTATTTGTCAGGCTTGGCAGTAGTCATGGCCTAATTGTGATAGTGATAGTCACACATTTTTCAACCAAACCACAGACATTAGGAGTGAATGCAAAGGGGAAGTTCCCACCATTATTTGAAGTGAATATTTTTCCTAAAAAGTATTTCTCTGTTCATCTTTTGACATTGGAATTTAAAGCAAATTTCTGTCCGAGACCTCGAAAAAAAAAAAAAAAATTCTTCAGTTACTTACAGTTTATCATTTAAATCACTCAGATGGATAGGGAAATATCTTAAATGGATAAACCCAAACTAGTAAATGTACAAATAGTTTTTTTTAACTGAATCAGATACATTCAGATGTTTTATGAAGACTGAGCTACACCAGACTGTTGAGACAAAAATGTAAGACCAAGGGGAATAGAGGCCTGAAGGACTCAAAAGTCCACAGAGTCAGAAGGAACACTGCCTTAGGAGTACTGTTTGGAAAATGACAAACTTGGAATTTGGAACACCAATCCTGATAGTCGATCTCAGCTCAACACAACACACAGTAGACATTGTTTGACATCAGTCCCTGTAAAACGGAATGTAAAACACATGCTGTATCATACACTGAAAAAAATGCTACTTTTCCTTAAGCCAGTGTGCAGGCCTGTTATTCCCCATTGGACTGCACAGTCATGCATATTGTATTTCTTTATAATAAGCAGCTACTAAAATAAAATGTTTTAGATAAAACAAAGGTTGTGATGTGTGCATTAGTAATGGATTATTGATGTGTGGATTAGTAAATGCATCAAGTAAGAGCCTTATTTTATTTATTTTTTGCTTTCTAAATGCTTTTGGTCAGAAAAAAAAATTAAAACACTTAAAGTACTTTAACAGCCTTAGAATGAACATACAGTAGACTTACAGGAAATGTGAATAGTGAGACAAAAAAAAGCATGATGTTTTGACATACGTGTCAAAATAACTATAAAATTGAACAATATCTAGATTCAAGAACATTGATTTCTGTACTCTGAGGAGATATGTCTTTCCTCCTGTGTCACAAAAGCATGAAGTTATGCGTCCATGGTTCACTTTCTCACGGCTGTCTCTGAAACATGACATTCAATATGGAAATATATTTTCTGTTCTTGTATATTAATGTGCACAATCATGTGAAACATACCTCCATTACAGTGTAGATCCAGTTGAGAAGTTGACTAACATCAGTGTAAACTCCAGGTTTTCCCTCACGTGCACAGCCCACTCCCCAACTCACTATACCCATTAACTGCCAACGAGATGAAAGGTACACTAGCAGACCCCCACTGTCCCCCTGAAAAAGAGAGAATACTTTAAAGTGACTTGGAAATTGCTTTTTTCTGGATACAAAGACAATGATATACATCACTTCTGAAGGGGAGCCTGCATTTGATTTTTCATTTGTTGTCGTTACCTGACACGCATCTATGTTTCCTTTGAGGAATCCCGCACAAAGCATTCTGGGAGTAATGGCGGAACCGTAAACAGAGGGCTTGGAACACTCGGACCTGTCAATCAGGGGCACTGAAGCTTTCTGCAGCACAGAGGGCAGCTCACCTGTAAAATGAGAATGAGGAAATGCCAGAGACAAAACAATATAGAGAATGTGGGAGAAACTGAACAAAAGGTGGATTTCTGATTTAAAACGGGTAGAAGGTCACAGTCCTGCCTTAGAGTTTACAATTATCCATTAAGTGACAAAGCCCCTTCCTCTTACCTTTCTCCTTGAGCAATCCCCATCCAGTCACCACAAGCATCTCCTTCATAGACAGCTGGTGTGGGGGTAAACAAACTGGCAAGATTGAGTCTAAGGATATACAGAAAATGAGACCTTTAGCCAATTACATTTATTTGGGCCTTTTGTTCTATGATAAACATCACAAACCACTGACTTTACTACTTAACTACTGACATTACTGCTTTCGAGTACTTGGATGCTAGAGTAATTACACATTGAGGCTTCTCAAAGGAATTAAGTTAAAAATAACCAAAACATACTGCAAGTGATCCTTATTCATGTTTTATGTTATATGTGTTATATGTTATGGACGACCTTTATTTTTTTGTGTGTGTGTTTTTGGAGCTCTCTATGAACCATAACCATTAACCGTCATTGTTTGGGGAAGAAAAAGCCAAATGGAGCAACATACAGGTTTGGCTCAACATGAGGGTGAGTAAAAGTTTTTGTTTTTTTAAATGGGAAATCTCTTGTTGTTGTTGTTAAAAAATGGGGTTTCATAAAGTATCTTAAATGTCAAGCTAGCAGCAAAGGAGGGAAAATATAGTTACAGATACTGTAGTGGGACTCAAGCAACTTAAAATGTCTCTTATATAATAATTTAGTCTCATTTTAAATCGCTGATATAAGAAAGCAGTTAATCAGAATGGATGAATGAAGTACCGTACCCCCAACAGTGACAGGCCAAGTGAGTTTTAGCATAGCAATGTCAAAGTCATTACTCAAGCGACTGTAGTTATTGTGGACAACAATAGTCTCCACGCTGACACCCCTGGATCCCGCCACTTCGGTCTGACCCAACACCACAGTCCATGGACTCAGCTCTCGTGTCCGGCTAAGAGTTTGTGTAAGCAATGCAGCAAGTCACAAAACAACATCTAAGTGGACCAACTAACCTATAGTCATAAATTTAAACAAGTAAAAATGTGTTTTCTTATTGTAAAGAAGAATTTTATTAAAAAACAACTGGATTAGGTTTACTATTTAAGACATTTCATTAGTCAACCGAGTTATTTAGGGGGAAAACTGAATCAAATCAAAATGCTTTTGACTAAAATTCTGTTCTAGAACACATCTTGCATTTGTGAATGGCTTACCCTGTGAAACAGTGAGCAGTTGATATGACCCAGTGCTTGGACAGTAATGCTCCTCCACAAACATGCTGGTGGTTCCACTGAAGACTAACCTGCCACGGCCAGTGTTCGACTGCTGTGTCCAGCCCACCAACAATACGGTCCTCTCCCACCACCTCCCCACAGTCTGTATTAACACGTGGGGACGTTTATAATAAGAGACATGAACAAACAAGATATTAGTATGCTTCCTAATTCCTGAAAAAAAGCAAACTGGAAATAAAATTGACACTCAGATTTGAAGTAGAATTAAAAATTAATTGAAAGGGAAAAAAAGGGAAAGTTTGTTATAAAAAAAAAAAACTTTGATTTTGAAGTTGAAGTTTGAAAAACTTAATTAAAAGTTTAAAAATGTGGAAAAAAAGGCCATTCATTTTCTAAGCTTTATGTACAGACAGAGGGACCATTATAGAACATTGCCAGCGTGTTGAATGTCTTTCAACTGCAATTCAATAAATTCCCCTTCCTGTCATTCCGGTCCCATTTTTTGTGCACAGTGGCCAATTAAATTCAAATCCCATGAATGGAAAGGAAGCCAAAAACAATGCAAAACCTGACCCACACACACACCTCAACAGTTTTACCTGAGCAGGACACAGACACCACTGAGCCAGAGAAACATCTGTCACTGTGAGAGAGCACACCATTATTTCCATATGTAAATGACAACATGATTATTTTATGTGGAGAATATCACAAATGACCTCATAGCAAGTGTATCTCACCTGACTGAGAGGAAACTCTGGATGTCAGAGTGTGTGGAGTTTTTGCTGACTGTAGCAAATGCATCTTGAGGGTTGAAGAGCAGACTCCTTACCGGGATTCGTGTACTTCGTGGACTCCTGTAGTGGAATATTTCCTGAATAAACACTATATACTGCAATCAATGGGAAGATGACCAGATTTCTTAAATGTTGCAATATGACAGCACTTACATATGGTTTTACAGCTTAGTTTACTAATGGTAATTGGTTTTAAACTATTGTGCCATGTGTGTGCTCTACTTACACTGTATATCCCAGTTGTTGACAGGCTAACCGCGTGTGCTTTGTCCTCCAGTTATCAGCACACACTGTTCTCCATCCACCCTCATTACTGAACACCTGCAGGACCAGTCTGTCCCCCATCAGCCTCACTACATCGGTAAATATAGATGAATCACATGTTCGCCTACAAATTCATCTTTAGTAAAGCAAGGCCAGGGGACAGTTAAAAATTCTCAAAAGTGGTGTAAAAAAAATTAAGGTTCTTTATTGGCATCTCTGGTTCCATTTAGAATCATCAGTGGCACCCTTCCATTTCACAAAAGCTTCTGTACAGTGGAAAAAGGTTAAATACATTCTTACATAAAGGTTCTTATTTATATTTTTAAACATGTTTATCACATTAGAAATTAATAAGAAAATAAAAATAGTTATTTTAATAACTACTGACTATAAGGTTCTTTAGAGCAGGGGTTCCCAACCCTGGTCCTGGAGGCACCCCAACACTGCATGTTTTGCATGTCTCCGTAATCAAACACACCTGATTCAGATCATCAGCTCATTATAGAGACTCCAAGACGGGGCTGTCCAAACTCGGTCCTGGAGGGCCTGTGTCCTGCAGAGTTTAGCTCCAACTTGCCTCAACACACCTGACTGGAAGTTTCTATGCCTAGTAAGAGCTTGATTAGCTGGTTCAGGTGTGTTTAATTAGGGTTGGAGCTAAACTCCGCAGGACACCGGCCCTCCAGGACCGAGTTTGGACAGCCCTGCTCCAAGACCTGAAATTGGTGTGTCAGAGAAAGGAGACATGCAAAATGTGCAGTGTTGGGGTGCCTCCAGGACCAGGGTTGGGAACCACTGCTTTAGAGAACCCTGTACAATGTTCTATGGCATTGCATTAAAAAAAAACTTTTAGGAGCCTTTATTTTTAAGAGTGTAAGTGTGCATAATCACCTGGATACGTGTCATTGGTCCACAGTTTGGATACACATGTGATTTCATCCTCACCGCCTGCACAGTTAGCCTTTCCATCACATGCCTTTTCTATTGAAATGAACCTCAGTGAGCCAGAGCAGAAGAAAAACTTGCTATTCAAGATCTTAACGGCTGGAAAGTATACAAGCAAACAACAAACAAAGATCATTTTCAGAGAGAATGTTTTATATGAAGTGGTCAAAGTAATAAAATGATTGTCATATAGTGATAAGTAATTTACAATGAAGAAAAATAAAGATGGCAGAGAAAGGAGAATGGCATGGCAATAGATTCTTACTAAAATACAACCCCACTATCAAGGTCGCTAGTATCACTAGCACACAGCACACGGTGATAACAGTTGATCTCCAGCGTGCTCTGCTCTCCTCAGTCCTCAGTGTGCTCAGTTCTCGCCTTCGCTTTAGCCTCAGAGCCATGAGAAACCAGAGAAAAAAAACCGATAGAAAGAAATCTAGCCAAAACAGTGGATTTTACTGGTTGTATGGCTAAATATATTCTGAATAGGTTTACATGTGTGACTGGTATTATTATCTCATAGTTCTAATTAGTGAATCTCACAAGGGTGCCCATCATATGAATGACTAACAGCAGACACTAGCAGTGTTTAGGGACTCCCTAGTTATCACCTTCACTCAGCTGATCTGTGTTAACTAATCAGTTGGTGGCAGGTTTTGATGAGACTTTGGCTGAATTCAGAACAGCACTACTAGTTCACAAAACAGCTTACTAGTTCTACCACATTTGAGTAGTAGCCTATGCTAGTATGCTAATGGAATTCTGAATTCAGCCTTTGATTTCATATTCGGCTTAAATGTAATTTTTATAATTTTAAGTTCAGAGAGCTTATTTAACATGAAGAGAATTTGTCAGCATGATACCAAATACCTTAAATAAGTAACGCAGTAGAGAATAATTTTGTCTTGAATGACAGGTGTTGGTTTTTATTGCTCATTTTTTGGCATCTAAAAGACACACCTTGCTGAATAAAAATTATGACATACAAAATACCAAGGTTTTTAAGTACATCAGACACCTGATGCACATTTGCCAGTTTTGTATTAGAAATTTGAGACACTATTTATAAACGTGATTGTGTTTTTTCTGTGAAATGTGTTAATGTGTATGTGTGTGTGCAGGTGTGTCCATTATTCCCTTATTTCAATTAATCTGTGATAACTGATGTTTGTACTGTCAGTCTAAATATATTCAAAAACACTCAGACTATCTTGCCTTTATTCACAAATTGTGTGGGATATTGTGTGAAATGTGATCTATGTGTAAACATACTTGTGTGATAGAATGACAGTCTGATGGAATCAATTTCTCAAAATTTCTCAATTTCTGTTGTGATGGAAAATTCTGTTCTCTGTTTGTGTATCTGCATTACAATGTTTCTATTGACATGTTGTTAAGAAACTCTGTTTAAAAAGGTTGCCTGTTAAACCAGTTAAACAGGTGAAAATGAGTTTCTACAGGGTGAGTTTGTCCTGCTCTGATGATGTAATAGTTGTACTGTGCCACTAGCAGGTGCATGACAGAAAAGAAATACATAGCTTAGGTACAGGTAGAGTCTTCCTTATCTCTTTAAACGGATACTCATCAATGGAGCACAGAAAGGTATGAATACTTTAATACCCAACAAAATGTTCTCAAAACAAACATGGATATATAGAACAAACAATTGTATTTCAAGTGTGTGATCAGTTCTTTTTGTGGTTAGTTTTGATACAACTCTTGTTTTGTGATTTTATTGATATATTATTGTGAATGTATTAGCATCATTTTGTTTCTCATCAGCTTGTGTGTAACACTACAGTTGTCTTGGTATTGTGTCCTAGTTACCTTAGTTACCTGTAATAATTATTAACACGTATACATTCTAACTTCCTTAGGTAGAATATTTTAATAGAATTAGTAACCATTTGGTTATAAAAAAAGTAACAAAATTATAAAAATGAGGCATATTACATGTGACTGAGTGAATGATTCACTGTGTGAAATATATAGAGCATGTTCCAACTGGATGCAGTTAGAGAGAAGATCGGCAACATGCCGTAAGAAGGAAGGGCATGATTCTGAATCTTACAGATCAATCCTAGTAAAGAAAGAAAAGAAAAGAAAAACATGCTGTGTTTAAAATCAAAATTCACAGTGTCATTTACTGGACGTTGGTCACTGAGAATTATTACAAACGTGATTTTTGTGAAATCTAAGTATGGAACAAATATAAACCACTTAAATCATCTGGATTTGGTCAGACTTACAATAAATGCCTGTTGGGTTCAGTACACTATGCATAGCAAAAAAATAAAATAGTCTAGTATATTGCAAGAGATATTGCAAGACTAGTGAAAAATAAATATACTAAAATGTATTTGAAATACTTTTATTTCATGCTAATTATACAGCAAATACATTTACATATTTATTTGCTTAATAAAAATACAATGCAATTGTACTGTTGTTATACTAAACTGGTATACTTAAAGTCTAATTCTGTACTTTTTTTTTATTTTTGCACTCTAAATGTGCGGAAGTATTGCTGAAGTCCAACTAAAGATATACTGAAGTATATTTGATTGTGCTAAAGTGGACCTGTTGCAAGTGTACTCCAGGTACACTTTAAATATCTGGCATTTAAAGACTGATATTGTCCAAAGATCATACAATCCTCATCAATAGTGACATTAAACACATTTTAGGCTTAATTTTAAGAAAGTAGTACTCCAAATACATTTTAATTATAATTTTTAAGTAAGTCTTAAGCAACATGCCAGTAAATATGTTAAAGGGGTCAGATGATGCGATTTCAAGTTTTCCTTTCTCTTTGGAGTGTTACAAGCTGTTCGTGAATAGATAAGATTTGAACTATATTTAGAATGAAATAAATGTATTGTAAATATATAACTTTTTTACTAGGGGAGGGTAGCAGTCATCTGGTATATATGGGAACCAAAATAAATATAGTCCTACGCTACTTTTGTGTGTAGTGTACACAACTCTTAGAAAACCAGTTAATGATTAATGGGTGATATAATATCTGGGTTATATAAAAAAAATCGCTTCATTATGAAAAACTACAACAAATTCAATTTTTTTTCAAATTCAAGGCAAACAATGCGCCTATGTATATAATGCATTTAAGTGGCTAAGATGTCTGAAATGCTCTGTTAACTCCATGCAACATCTTGCTTCTGTCTTTATAATATATATATATGTATGGTATATCTGTAGAACAGGTGTGAGTATGGGCACTTATTTGGCACACTTATTTGAATATGGAAAAGGAGGTTCATTGAATCACACATTTGGTCAGGCAGGACTAAAAAAGTAAAGGGGATTTTGGTTTCACCATCTTCCTTCACCTGTTACCAAATCCCCATGCAGTCGTAGCCAGAGTCAAATCCTTGCTCAACAGTGTGTTGTAGACTGATGTGTATCAGCAGGTTTGTGTCTCACATGGTACTCCCCCATCCAGATTTGCACCACAGACACATTCGAATGTACCAAAAATCAGGATTACAATTTTTGAATAAGGTGCTAAAATGTTATCATTGTTGGAATAATTTATTTGAGAGAATATAATAATTGTGCCCGCTGATGGTGAGGAGGTGCTTGTATTATATCTAGAGAGAAATGTATATGAATTAATATACAATACATTGACAAAAGTATTGGGACACCCCTTTCTAATGAACAGGTTTGACTACTTTAGTAATTTCAATGAGTACAAAGAACTTGACTGGTCTGCAGAAAGGAATACCGTAATCTGAACACCTGCTGAACACCTCTTGTGTGACTTAAAATGCAGAGTTTTTGGCTCAAGGTCTGCATTTAAAGTCACACCAGAAGTGTTCAGATGGGATTAGGACTTTGCTTTCTGCAGACCAGTCAAGTTCTTCCACACTGACTGAATCAATCACTTCTTTTTGATCCTTGCCCTATACACAGAGTCATTGTCATGTTAAAATAGAAAAGGTTCCGGTCTAAACTATTGCTAATTAGAAGCACACAATCCCCTAGAATATCATTATATGCTTTAACATTAAGATTTGTACTCATGGAAATGACTACAGTAGTCAAAACTATTCATTAGAAAGGGGTGTCCCAATACTTTTGTCAATATAGTGTATATTAAAATTATAACTGTATATAAATTATGACAATATAACACGGTAATGTATTTACTAAATATATGACAAATAATTTCTTTTAAGGTGAATTCTGTCCTTGTTAAACAGAAAAGCAGCTCCACTGCATTAAGCAGGGCCTTGAATATCAGGCTTATCGTAAATGTATGAACAATTCATTTGAACTCTGATTGACAGTACAGATATGTTTACTGTGAATTTAATTTGATGACAGATGAGAGCGAACAGTGTTTATAGAAATATAGATTTATAAACATCTTGCATTTATTTTATGAATACAGACTGAGTCTCCTCCCTCATATGATTCTGTGGTGAATCACAACACGCCTCCACCTTCATATCCGAGTCTTCAGACATTGTCAGCCACCCAAGTCCAGCCGTACTACATACCACAGCCAATACATCAAACACCTGCTCCTTGTGTTGTACAGACAAGTAATATTTAATAGCACATTCTACCTATACACGCATAGGTCTTAAAAACATGGTTATTAAAATAATTTGAGGGATCATAATTAAATAATTAAATTCTTTGTATCTGTATTAAATAATTATTAGCATGTATGTATTTGTGTCAATAGCTATTGTTGTTTTCTTTCTGCAGTCCCAACACAGAGAGGTCAAGCTCCCTCACACAGGAACAAAAGGTATTGCTGTAGAGGGTCGAGTGGTACTGCTGTTATAGCTGTGCTGGTTGTAATTGCCGTCTGGATGGGAGGTGAGCATATATTTTATATGTAATAATATTTATCGACATTTGTGCTGTTCTGCCTACTACTTTTAATCAGACATTAAATACTGTATTTTGGGTTGTGTATACTATTACTAAATTTGAATGTGTCATTTGGTGCAGCCTCCATGAAGAGTGACTTTTCACAGGTACACTTTTAACTCTATTTTCGACTCCTGCACAGTGCGCTATGGGCCATTACTGTGGGCTCAGAAAGAAACGGAGACAGAAACGTGCCCCCCTTCATCAGTCGACTGTGATGGAAAGAGAGACTGTTCTCAAGGCAGTGATGAATCTCGCTGTGGTCAGTGTCAATCACATATCAATAATGAAATCTCTTTTCAGTTGGAAATCATATACTGATTTGATTTGAATGTTTCTATAGTGCGGTTTGGTACAGCAAATGAATTGCAGGTCATGACTTCTAAGAACAAAAGCTTCCTTCCAGTCTGTGCACAGGGCTGGAATAAAAACATAGCAGACCAAACCTGCCAACAGCTTGGCTTCATACAGTAAGTATAATACACACACACACACAAACACATAATTATTGTGATCTGAGACAAAAGCACATATTAAACACAACTTTTAAAAGACTTTTTAATTTCGAGATTACTTGGTTTTGGAGGTTTTATGAAAAAAAATTATATACATATATTGATAGTTTTTTTTTGTTTTTTTTTCACAAAAAAGAAAAGATAGCCATAAAACCTGTCATGGCATTGAATCACAAGCAAACAAACAACAAACAATATTAAGAACATCTGTATGAAATGTATTCATATGTGTTTCGGTTTGTGTGCTTTACAGGAGTTATGAAGTTGGTGTCTTGAATACCAGTTCATCCACCTTTCAAAGTTTGAACAGTCAGTTTACAAACACTATCCAGGCGAGCGTTAATACAAGGTAAAACCCAGAAATTTGCTGCTGAAAAACAGCAATAAATAAATAATATATATATATATATACACAGTGGGTACGGAAAGTATTCAGACCCCCTTCAATTTTTCACTCTTTGTTATATTGCAG